CAAAAGAAAACACCCCCACACACCACACTTTTTTTTCGTTTTCTTTCCTTTTCTCAATTTTCTCAGTTTTCATATTTTTCTCTTTTTTTTTGCGATTCATCTGGAGCAAGACAATCCCTCTACCGGTTTTGATTTTCTGTTTTGTTTCTCCTCAATACAGAGGGATTATTTTTGATAATTGTATTTTCTGTTGTTGTTGACGGAGCACATTGTTCCCCGTCGGTTTGTAACCATTACTTCTTTTTCTTACTCTCGCTCATGGAATAAAACACCCATCAGTCTGGAATCGCGAATTTTTATTTCGAGCGCACGCCGAATGTATGAATGCCTCCTTCATTGGATAAGGGAATGTGATGTATGGGCGACGGAAGTCGGGGGATTAGCTGAGTGACTGAAGAAGAGTTGTGAGAATGATAATGGTCTAGTAACCTTCCTTCCATCTCTTCGCTTCCGGAGTCAGCAGAGACAACTTGTAAAAAAAATTAAGGTTTGGTATCGTTCAACATGAGGATGTGAAAACCCCATGTATTCTTTGCCCCCGGGACAGCTGTGATGAGGCAACAATTTGTGCCCCTCCCCCTACCCCCTAAGACACCTGGTTGAAAATATGGGTAATTAGTTTCAGTTAGGATTAAGACAAAACACAAAACTTAGGTTATAAAAGCTGTCGCCGTTGGGCTCCCCCTCCCGAATAGTTTCTTCCCCCCACCCCGTTTCCCCTCGCCCCGGTACACACATCGACCGAAAATGAAGAAGGCGAAAGAACAAAAACCCCCACCTGATGAATTCGACACTACGTGACCCGGAAGACAAGGAGACATCCCTCGGCCGACCCCCAAAGAGCAACAAATGGGAAAAGGAGACTCAATCACGAGTGCCCACAATTAACCCCGATTATCGGCGATAATCGGGGAAGAAGAGTGACAGTGATCGACAAACATCACTCGTTATACAGCTGCCCCGGAGTTTGCCGCGATTTTGAGAGTTCGGTAGAATTGTGCGTAATAAGAGAAGTTGGAAGAGAATTCAGTGAGGAGAAATTGTGGAAAAATCGTGGAGGAGATTTTTGAGACCCAGGAGTGAAGAAGGAGAGAAAGGAAGTGCGGTCCGAGAAGTCAGGAAAGGAGAAGACGGGAGAGGAAAGCCCAGAGGATTTTCCCCGTGGTGGATTTTTGCCGCCATTGTCGTGAGTACCCACACGTTTGTTGCCTGCCCCCACGAATTTTCCCTTGACATAATTCCCCCCAAAGGTGAGTCTCTCTCTCTTTTCTAATTATTTAAGGGCAGGCCGTTAGCTAGTTGATATTATTTATAACGGAAACCCCTTAAATAATAGTTATTTTTCAATATTGATCCCCGTCACTTCTCCCCCTTTTTATCACCTTAATGGTTCTCCCCTTTTCTGTATTATTTATTGTAATACTATTTTCTCGCGTGTTGCCGCAAGTTGGCTGGCCTCCCCCCTTCCCTAGGTTAATCTTAAAAGGCCGGAATTTCTCACTTTTTGTTTGTTATTTTATTTTTCTGTATTCACGATGCCAGATAAATAGACATTGGTACAATAGATTTTCCCCGAGTGAATTATTTTCCCCTCGAACCCTTTTTTCTCTATATTTTCAGGCCCTCCCTTAACATCAGGAGTTTCCCCCTTGTTCTTCACCGGATATAAATTATCGTGACCCTCGCTGGCAATTATTTCACATAATTCTTGGGCCAAGGTCACAGTATTTACAAATTGGCATTGGAAATGACGTGAAAAATGCCAGGGAAGTTGCAAGCCCTAATATCTAATAATGATTTCTTTTATAATCGATTTTAAACTCGTGGTCTTATGGGAATCCAGAAAAGCTTAGTGAAGAAACGCAAAAATGATCGCAGAGCAATTAAACTGCCGGTATTTATAAATAATACCCTTACTGACGAACGGTATTTCCGGTCCATTAAATAAATAATTTACGTTATATATTAAAGAAATGAGTGCAAAATAAACAGTTACGATTAACGTCTCATAAAATCTATACGGAGACAAATATGTACGAAAAATTACTGGTCTCGTATTAGTAAACACGGGATATGGCCCTACCCTGATGAGAAGCCCTGCGAAATTCATGAAAAATCACTGCAATTTTCCGGAATATTTACTGCGCAGGGCAACAAAATTTACTGGATTGATCTTAAATTTTCTCCGAAGTTCATTCGATGTTCTAAAAATGGACTGCTAAAAACCTGAAATATTCGTACTAGTTATTCACCTTTTACTGCAATTCTTACTGCCACGAGGCCCGTATTTACGTACATCGTTAATGGGTGTACCTTAAGTGTTCTCAATTCGTGTGAGATTCAGTTCAGTAGTTGATTTTCATTACGTTGTGAGTAAACATTCGTGGATAAGTGAAGCGTAAAGTGAAACATTCTCCACCTCATTAATGGAGTCTCAATAGGAGGAGTGACCACTGACGTAGTGCATCTACTGAATAATTACCAATGTTTCTACCATTTTTATATGCAGTTTAGCAACTTCATAAAATGAAATTGACAATAATCATTCTATTTCAATTTGTGGCAAGACAAGTGGCTCTTATATTGCATATCATATAGTTGTCTTTGCTAATAAATTAGCAAATTGCTTCCGAAAGTTTATTCTCTGTATTATCTTCCTCTCTTGTACATAAGCTTTTATTTTTATTTTATTCAATTGAATGATTCAGTCTCACTGTACTTTTTCAGCTACCATTGTATTCGTTTCCTAGCTGATATGTGCAGATCTCGTTGAGATTCTGTCGGAAAAAAGAAATGAAATTTGACAGAAATTCCAAAAACTATTATTAATATCTCCTTCATCTTCAAACTCTGTCAAGAGGATATTAGGGCAATTTTTTCAGTTGTCATTTAACGGATTCAGATAATTTTTTTTAAGTTATCGCGAAAAAACCGAATTTTCGAAAAAATAATAAATAAGACGAATTCATAGATGAAATCAATTTTTGTTGACGGCGACAGACAGGGCTGAATGACACCTACATTTGAAAAAAAATATTCAATTCAATAGAGATGAAAATGAGTGGAAAAAGAAATGCCCCACACCTACACATACATCCACTCATTCGCACACGGTCTAATAGCTGCATTTTCGAACACCTTGGCTTATACTAATAAGTGGATATACCACAAAAAATATAAAACTGAAATTTGATCGATTACAAATCTTCCATTCGGAAACAAAAAAGGAAAAATCCTGTTTGGTGAGGCACTGCGGTTTTTGGGTGGTGCCGGGAATTATGTAAGGTGATCGTCGGATGGAATTGCATCGAGAAAACGCGAGAAATTTTAGCATGAAATGTGGATTTATTAATGCCTCCGTTCGTCAAATTACAATATTTACACTGATTTTATAACTGTCTGATTATTGGTAAAAGTCTCTTCCTCTTTGTTCTCCCATTGATTAACTGAACTGATAATTTCCTAGAGAGTTAAGTGATACTGACTGCCGAGAAAAGAATGAATTCAACCGAAATTACGGTAATGATTGACTGTACAAACTATATGTCCGGTTACTAAGATGTCTGAATGAGTACTCTATAAATTGTCCTTTCCTATGGACATTCGAGATAATACTGATATAATTCCTTGTGTTTGAATTCCTATGACCCCGGTTGACCCGGGGTGCCTCGATTTCTACCGAGGACTCCTTGATCGACACTGATGGCGAAAACCTTGAAACACCTAGTTGCGTTCCAAATAATTAATTTATTTTCATTTTTCATTACTAATTAAAGCAGCGAATGATAGAATCGGATCTGCCTTTCATAAATGAAGGAAATTCAGCCTGATATTTCCAATGTATGATAATGCGTAATAAAAAAACCGCCGTGTGGCATATGATGAAAGTGGATTTTTGAGAAATTCAGAAGTTGGGAATTAACCCATACTGGTCCTGATAAAAAAAACAACAACAGCGACTTATCATGATGACAGGATAATGATATCGTTCAACTCCAATAATGGGAATCTCCTAATAATTACAGACAACTATTAACATTTATCGTAGACCACTCAGAATTAGAGGTAGTAATTATCAATTATATAATTATCTAATTATGAGATTAAGTTGCCCATGAACTTGCACTTACCCGTTTTTTTCGAGTATTTGTTCTAATTTTTCTTTTTTCTGTTTTTTTTCAGACATTCTTGTATTCACAGTTGCATCAAACCAAACCGACGGTTTCAAACGATACCTTAGGTCAGCAAAAGTTCAAGGATTTGAAGGAAAAATTAGAGTATTAGGAGTTGGCCAGCCCTGGAAAGGGGGTAATATGAAATCCGTTGGTGGCGCATACAAAATTAATCTCCTTAAAAGAGCCTTGAAAGAATTTAAGGATGATACACAGAGAATAATTTTGATGACTGATGGGTTTGTAAATTATTTTTAGATGAGAATAACTAACTCAACTTCATTATAAGTTGTTACTGTTGAACTTTCAAAACCCATTTTCAACGATATTTGGATATTATGCAGAAAGTACTATGAAATGACCCTTTTATCTATTCGTAACAAGCACATGCTGCAATTTATATCGAAGGGTGAGAGAAAATCGACCGGTGATAAATTTTTTATTTTAATTGCTGACTCCATCAAAAACCCAAAGTACCATGTCAGACAATTATCGTAACATGTTGAATTTATCGGAATCAACTTGCTGACAAGCAAGCTAAAAAAATTAATGCACCGGAAAAACTGACTCAAACAGCAAGCAAGGCTGGACGTGGCTCACGAGCAGACAGGACCTCACCCAGAACTATCAGGGAGAAATATTCTACTTATTTTTTAAATTTTCCACTGTTTTTTTTTTGTTCTTCTTGCTTTTTGTTTTCTCAATATCTTCCTTAATAAGTAGGAAATGGCCCATTTAATCCATGATTTTGTAAAAATTGTATACAATGAAAGTCCTGTTAACTGTAATTGTTGCTATTGGAAATGGCATTTATTGAAAATTGTTGTAAAACTTCACCGCTTTCAACCTCCAATGAGCAACATAGGCTGAATTTTTTCGCAGACGTCGCGGATCTACTCAAAAACTTGCAGGCTATATTTAATTTTTGAATTTCTCTCTAATAGAAGGATGTATTCAAAAGTGAGTGAAGAAATTGACAAATGATAGTTAACCTGTACCGAGACTGATGGAAATACTCTTCTCTTTCCTTCAGTACTGCTGTCAATATCTTGGGTGGACAAGTTGTTCCCTACTCTTGTGGTAGTTCAGCCACTCTTCTTCGAATAAAAGAATGTACATCAGGAATGAGCAATGTAGTAGCTCGGATCAGCTGATCAATTCAAATTAAAAACCGCACAAAATTGATAACCATTTCAATTATAGGGGTCTTAATTCAATCGTACACTGATAAGAAAATTATATTCAAGGTAGCTAATGAATTGTGCTTAGTTAGTCGTTGAGGCTTATAAATTAAACACCCCTACTTTTCCGTTGCATCGAAAAGAAACCCCTCTATCAGATCACATCATCAAACTAATTCAACAAAAGAGCAAGTTAAGAAATGACTGGCCGAAAAATAAAAATAACCTAATCCTAAAATCGTGTTTTAACAAATTAGCAAAAGAAATTCAGCAAAAAATTCAAGAAGGGATACAACAAATTTGAGACAATAAATTCAAAATTATTACGTCGAGGGATCATTCAATTTAGAACATTGCAAAAAGTTTCAATAATATCCTAAAAGTTAATATACCAAATTTCAACATCAATAACAAGATTATCTCGGCAGACACCGAAAAGCCCTTTGCTCTCACTACGCTAATATCCATCAGATAGCCGCTGAGAGAGGAAATCCTTTTAATCAACACATCACGGCATCACTCTTAAAAAGATTTCTCATAACCAACCTGCTTGCTCGGTACTCCTCACATCTTCCAGGGGAGTTCGCAAAATCATCATCAAATTAAAAAATAAGTCAGTCCCTGGCATTGATCAAATTCCCAATATTGCAATACAAAATCTCCCCAAAAAAGCAATAACGTTCATATCCAACATTTATAACGCATGTCTTGTTCTCCACTACTTTCCTGATAAGTGGAAATGAGCGGTAGTAATCCCCATGCTCAAACCAGGCGAATTCCCCTTCTTACCGGTCAGGTACAGGCCTATTAGCCTCCTCTCTAATCTAGGCAATATCCGTGAGAAACTCATTTTCATGAGACTTTCCAAATTAATTCGTAACCTCCAAATTATCCCCACAGAACAATTTGGTTTCAGAGCCTTCCACTCCACCACCGAACAACTTGCTAGATTTACTGACCCTATTAAAAACAACCATTAATCAATCAAAAGCACAACAGCAGAACAGCAGTAATTGAAAAAATATTTCCATGAAAGAAATAGAAAATTTTTCTATTTTACTTTTTCCACCGTCAAGTTTCTGCCGAATATGCTCTTACTTACGCACAGGGCAACATGGGCCCGACGAGGGTCTAACCATAAACTTTCTGGCTTCACACAATTTTGCCTAATGGAGGTCAGGAGCTGGAGTAGCTCCGAGAGCTGAGATTGTCCACCTCTGTTCTTCACTAAGGTAACTGTGGGGGCTTTCCTACTTTTCTTACTATGATCATACTAGAAGTTCAATAATTGAAATGGTTATAAACTGTATAGGATTTTTAATTTGAGTTTGTGAGGCTGCTCCGAACTATCTGGAGTTTACCCATCCTTGCTCTACAGGTACCGTGTCAGGTTAAGTTGTGGGAAGGAAATATTGGCGCCATTGCGGTGAACAACAAAATATTGCAAACGACATTACGGTGGATGGCAAAATATTGACGGAGAATATCTATTAGGGTGTCAATTCACTTTATCACAAATTAACATAACCACACAAGAAAGGTTTTTTCATTATTTTACATGCCAAAACGAAATTGAAGTTTTGAAGAATTATTTTTTCTAATGGTACTTCCGCCAATCAGTGCACAGTATTTAAAGTCCGGCAGATTTATATTGCATATTTAAATAAAAATTTCGTCGGATATTCCTTAGTAGCTCGTCCTACTTTTCCTGACCTTGTCCCCGGTATCAAAGAGAATCATTACCCCCGCGCTTCCCCATACTCGTGTCCACAGTTCAACCGTATTGATGCGGGCGCCAGCTAACTTTTTATTGATTAAAAGTTAACGAAAATCGAAAGAAAGGAGCAGCTAAGGAGATGGGAGACTCTACCTCATCTGAGGTTTGGTAAAGGCTCATCGTACCCAAATCCAAAAGCCAAAACCAAGAGCACGGAGGGATAACGCATGAGGTTGACAGATATCCTCGCTACCATACAATTCCTGTAAATTCCAAAATCCAGCGAACTAACCTCGAGAAGCAAAAAGTCGATGATGAATGGAATCGAAACGGAAAGGTCTGGATCGCCCAGGATATTAGGCTGCGAAGAATGAGGCAAGGATTCACAGAATTTCAATAAGCCGAAACCCTTAAAGAATTAATAAAGTAAATCGCGAGGTTCAATAACTACACACTGTTGAGAGTGTGGCCGACCCACTAATATGGTCCTAACATAAAGTGTTACTCTCACCCAGAGAACACCAAAACAAATGCAGAGCATTAGCGGCTTCCCTAGAAACACAGCTGCCAGTGAACCACACGAATTTGCGAACTGCTGGATTCGTCCGAACGTATGAGGACTGAAACCTCATTGCTCAGGGGTAGGAGGCTGCGTTACTGACGACGCCACAAGGACAAACATGAACACATTTCCGGTCATGGATGGATTCACTACACCGCTGACCAGTAGCAGAATGTTTAGATAGCGACTTTTTTTAAAGAATCCCATTTCCCATTAACTCGAACGGAATCTCTTCGACTAGCTGCACCGAGTGGTCCGCACACATTGGACACCAGATCGTCGTAAGAAAAAACAAATCAACCACTTTCTAGTTACTCCCACAGATTTACATTGACCCAACCTTCTGCGTTATAACTATATCCAACTGCCCCTGAACGTGTGTCAAACTTAAGTTCTGATCTAGCCTATAAACTAGCAATCAGAAAAGTTTTAACATAAAGAAAACGAACATGGAGAAAGTAAACGCTGAGCTACTACAATATATCTAAAACCACCCAATTATCAAAGCGAAGAACATTGCCACATTTGGCGAATCTCTGACAGAAACTAGACTTCCTCAAGACTACACACTCATATAGATCAGTAGTGTATTCCGATCCGAAACCGGCATGATCACGCGGTGATTCTGAACTGAAAATTCCTTTTATACTTCATAATCGGAAGCACCCTTACGGAGATCCTAGGGTGAGTAGCACAACCCTGAACGCTTCAGCGTTCAGTAGATATATGTCCGTATGGCTGCGCTCATCCCGATGTGTGATCCCCTTCTCGTGAGCAGGAGGCAGAACGAAGTCTCACCCGTAAGTGAGAAGAAGAAGGAATTCTGGTTTTAGGGGAGATTGAAGCGCAGCAGCCAAAAACGATTTTCTCTTCTCTTGCTCTTTAATGTTGCTTGCCGTTTAATCCTTTGTTTTTTTTTATTTTGAATGAATTTGGCAGCAAATTTTTTTTTGAATAAACTGGTTATGCACCCAGAAAAGAATAACTGTAAATTACCATATTTATCACGTAATTCACGGAATCGTTAAATTTTTGGAGATTTTGAAATATAATTTTCAGACACATTTTTTCAAATTGTTTTACAGGAAATATTAAAAATTAAAAATGATGAAAAACCTCACAAAATAGTAAAATCTAAAAAATTTGGTAAACATCCCAGAGAGTATTTTTCCCGCAAAAAACTTTAAAAATTTTGAAAATTAAAAAATTCAATTTTCGAAGTTTTGCGGGTAAAGCCGTTTCCGATGTTTGCCCAATTTCAAATCGAAATTTTTGAGTTTTCAAAATTTTGCTCATTCAAAAATTTCAGTTTGGCAACTTTCTGCAAACATCAAGGATATTTCCACAATTTTTAAAAATTCGTCCATTTTCGATATTAAGGTACATTTGGCTACTCCAATATTTCAACATTAAAAGATTTTTCTAGAAGTTGTTAACGATCTTTTTCCCACGTCAGTTGAACTACACAAGTATAAGCAGTAGGCAGAATACTATTTCAAAACACTTCCAATTTGAGGAATTCAAAATTCAAATACTCAAACTCTCAACATTATTGCCATCAAGATTCGTCATTTATTGGTATCCTCGATTTTATCACAATTTCTCGAACTCATGGATTACTCGTATAATTTTTCGATACTCCAAATATACAAATTTATTGGAAAATTTACATATCATTCCTCGCTTCTTTTTTTCAGATTTAAACGATTCCGTAGACCGACGTCCAGTGGCTCAGGTGATCAGGCGCTAGTCTATCATTCTGGCGATCCGGGTTCGATACCAACCTCAGTCGAGTTTTTACTGCTAAGACTCGATTGAGAAGAAATCGTCCCGGGGTAGTCGAGTCGCTGGGCGAGCGGGAAGTAGGCATTAGGTCACCGACTGTATGTACCGGGTTTGCGTGGTTCCCCACAGGACTACCCCTCACAGGGGGTGCAAATGCGGTACAGCTTAGAAGTCGGCCCACGCAGCCGCATGGTTAGACAGGGGGGTAGGGCCGATTAATAGAAAGGGTAGAACGGGTCGAAAAAAAAAACGATTTCCTATTTGTACTGTGACCTTGGCTGGAAATATAATATTAAATAGATCCTACTAAGGCACGAACAATCCGGTCGAAGTCGGCTAAAGAGTGGGAATAATAAGTTACTTTGTGGGAGGACGTCAAAAAAGGGAACAATGAAGGATGGAAATGAATTTGGCGGGCTGTTGGATGAAAGAAAGATGAGATATATTTGCATTTTCTTAATACAACTGATTCTCAGAACTAGTACCGTCACTGTCCCAGTTGATGCACGCCGAAGGACAACTCGTTGAAAAATTCCTTATCATTTCATTTTTTTGGGCGAAAATGTAACTGCAAATTTTGAAAATCATTCCCAGTATCTTCGGAACAGAGAAGCACACAAAAAAACAAAGAAAGCGTAGAAGTTTATTGAATTAATGGAAACATAAATGAGAGCCTCTATGTCCCAGTTCTTGCACGGCCAAAAACAACATGACGGTGTTTTTGCACGCTTCGGTCCCAGTTCTTAGACGAAGTGAATTGAAGGCAACTAATTTAGATAAACATGAAACCTAAGCTAATTACAATATGAAAAATTGGTTTTATTATGCCAGTATCTATTATAATATTTTT